TGATGCCCCAGCTGAACGAAGCACTTACGCACATGCTTGATTTAAAGCCAGCGTAGTCGCGTAGATTTACACCAGCTGAGGATCTGGCCCTGGAGCACTTTGTCCTTGGTCTGTTGTTTTCCTTAGTCTGAAATAAACAAGCCCCTGTTTTGCTCTGGGAGTCTGGCAGAAATGTGGTGCTCGGCTTGAGGCTCTTATCTGCTCCTCAATACTGTGGTCTCTGAGCACCTTGTCATCTTCAATATATTGCTCTTCCCAGCCCTCTGTGTGGTAGGGCAGTGCTGTTACCCCGTCGTACAGCTGGGGCGCAGAGAGGCTGAGTGATGTGCCCAGGGTCACACCAGAAGGTCTACGCTAGAATAAGGAATTGAACCCAGCTCTTTCAAGTCCTAACCACTGGGTGACCCTTCCTCGCCAATGGGGAAGAATGACTGGGTCCTGGGGAATGGAAGGTGTTGAAATAAATGGAAAATATTATTAGATGAATATAGTCGCTGCTAACCCAAGAACATGGTGACACTGGCCATAATAATCACACCCAGTGTAGAGCCTCCCTCTGTTTCCCAAACAAGCCAGGAAACATACAGAAGGCCTTGATAGGGGGCTTGATCCTGGAACAAGCTGCGTCCACTTCTCTCTGTCAGGAATACGCTGCATTTCAAGGGTTTGAGTGTTATTCCATGTGGCACACAGCTTCCTTCCCACAAGAGTCCAGCGTTTAGGCCACCATTGGGTTGAGCATTTTGGACTCTGACCTTCCAAGAGGCAGCATGCAGGCCCAGGAGATCTCACTGTACGCTCAAGGCCTTGTAGCTATGCAGTACATTTGGGCGGGTCTCAGACTCAGCCCTGGGAACTTTTGGGAGAGTTCTAAGAGGGTCAAAGGTTTTGCTTGGACATGAATTCCATGGCTGGTCCATGCCTGGCACTGTGTCAGGACCCATGGACAGTTTGTGGGTGAGATACCCACCCTCACCTTCCACTGGCATCACTTCTGGGTGTTGGCATGTAATGAGTATTGTTGAGAACGGAGGTTACCCATTGACAATACTCCATAGGCTCACGCTGGCTTTTGTGGTCATCTGTAGCTAACACCTGAAGTTGGTTGCGTCCCACAGCCGGGGCTGGTGTAGGATCTGGTGTGCGGCAATACTTGCTGCGTGACCTTGGCTAGAACAGCCTGTTGAGATCAGAGAATGCGTCTGGTTTTATTTTACATCCATTTCTGAAGTACCCATCACTGTCGTATCTGGAAGCTCTTTCATAAATGTGCTTGGAAATGGAATACCCCCTAATGGCGTCTGACTCTCTGCTCCTCCTGCACAGCTTATTGGCAGAGGGGTCCAATGCCAATTTTTCTCTCTCATGCTTCAGGCCTCCCTGGAGGAAGTAGACACAGAGTTAGTGCTGGTCCGAGAAGAGCTGCAGAAGGTTTGGGACATGCTGAAAACACGTGATACGGCACTGGAAGAACGACACCTGGAGTTAGAATCGGCCAGGAGCCAGGTACCAAACTTGTCTGAACATCCTGCAGAGACATGCTGGGTTATTATACTATTATTTGTATTCCAGGAGCACTTAGGGGCCCCAGCTGAGATCAAGGCCCTGTTGTGCTAGGCACTGTACAAACAGAGGATATGTCTACACCGCAATCAGGAGGTGTGATTGCAGCATACCTGAGCTAGCTTGGATGGAGCCACTCACTAAAAATAGCAGTGTAGCCTTGGCAGTGATGGCACAGGCTGCCTTAGTCCTTAACTGATCAGGATTGTACACAGGCTGCAATTACACCTCCCAATTGCAGTGTAGACACAGCCAGAGTGAGAGACTTCCCCTGATCTAAAGAGCATCCAGTCAAAATAGACAAGCCAGACAATGGATGGGATGGGAAGGGAAGTGACTTGCACATGGTCACTCCGTTGACCAGCCTGGTCTCCCGAGTCCCAGGCCAATTCCCTGTCCATGGAACCAGGCTGCCTCTCCCCTCAGACGGACTCATCTCAAAGTGGTGTGTGTTTCTGTGCCAGTACGTGTCCGTTGGTTGGATCAGCTCCCTTAGTGGTTCCCCAGAGTTCACTGCACATGCCTGGCAGGTGGCTGGATTAGTCCCTGGCTGTTTGTGGAGATCTACCTCAACCCCAGTCTGAGCTGCCTACCCCCTTCTCTTGGACGTTAGCAAATTAGATTTACCAGCAAAGAGCCCTACTCTGGTGTCAAGGCGGTGACTCCATGGGATAAGAATACAGCCCAGAACCAGCCATTCTACTGTCTGTGAATAAGGAACACCAGTGGCGATACCACAGGGCTTGTCTGGGCTAGCTCCTCATCTGGGGTAACTCAAATAGCCCTTGCGTAAGTAGCTAGCAGACAGCAGGTGCGGCTGATGATGAAGTAGGTGACTTCACTGAGTAATGCTAACCTGCATCCTCTGTCTATTGCCAGTACACTGAATGCAGCTCAGAGAAGCTGAGACTGGAACAACTCGTCGCCTCTCTGGAGCACCAGCTGGCGGAGAGGTACGGAGCTAACAGGGATTCAGTCCTAGGGCAGTACTGAGCTGTGGGTGCTCCATATGCCACCCCCGCTAAGGAAACCCCAGGGGAGGCTGCGCTGTCTCCACTGCATGGCACAACTCCCCTGCCGTGTAACTTTAAAAGGTATGGGCCAGAATCATCCCTGGTATGACTCCAGTGGAGTTGCACCGGGAATGAGCCTGGCCCTGTCTGTGAATGGAACAGCCATGGCAGGCTCCCACCGAGACCTGCAACGTGATGAGGTGGTGAGTGCAAATCCAGTAGACCTGTCCCCTCTAACGTGGCTCCAGGTAGACCAAAGCTCTGCTCCACTAGCCTTTGGGACATCCCCAGGGGACACATCGCCCCCATGTGGAAAGTGGAGATGCACGTGGGAAAGAAATGGTTTATTGCTTCTCAGGTGGGCATTTCTGTGCCTCTGCCTGGCTGCTGCAGTCACCTCATTTATAGCAGTGGCAGCAGAGGGGGCCCAATGCCAGGGACGGTGACGTACAGAGAGATCCGGGTCCAGCATTCCAGAAGAGGGGGGCAGTTTGGGTCGAGAGTTTTGGTTCAGACCCATCTCTAGCAAACTGTTGTCTCTGCTGCGTCGAACCCCGCTCCGGCCACCAGAGAGAGGGATTGTGCTAGTTATTAAAGGGAAACGTTTCTCTTGGGCACGTGTCAGAAACTACCTAGATGCCGCAATGTGTGGCAGCCAGCATTGCCTGCCCCACAGTCAGCCCTGGGAACGCCAAGCACCAGGCGTGTGAGAGGCACTCCTGGCTCAGGAGGCAAGTTCTCTTTAGACCCACAAGCTGAAAGCTGGAGCTGGGCCATATCCCTAAGACGGTCACCAGCTGGGGTCAGCACAGCCGGGTCCCGAGCCATCTCTAGTACCGTGATAACATAGGTAGCTGCAGCTGAGTCATCTATCGGGGCCCAGGCGCCCATCCTGTGCCAGGAGGGTGATTTGTTAAAAACCTGGTTATAAAGCAAGCCCTTCCACCGTGGCGTGAAGGCTGCCAGAGGCGGGTTTTGGTAGGCTCCCCACATGGAAGCCCTGTGCTGGGAGAGCAACTGAGAGCCAGTGTGTACCTGCAGAGCTTAACTGCTGCGCTAGGGTGGAGCTGGGCCCCAGGTCTTCCAGAGCAGAAGAGATGGGAACTGGTGGGAGCCCTTGGATCTAGATTGATAGGGCCCCTTTCAGCCAGAAGAGCCAGGGTGAGGGCTGGATGGTGGCCCCATGTTGGGAGTGGGATGGGCTAGGGAGAGACGGGGAGGAGCAAACTAGGCCCTGCCCCTTTGGGAGAGGATAGTACCAGCCATGGCACTAGATCCTTGCACTGGCCTGGGTCATGCCGTGCAGTGGGGAAAGCCATGGGAGAGGGGCAGGGATGGGCTTTCCCTGCAAGATGCCCCTCACAAAGTGTCGTCCTGACTTTTCCTTCAGGCTCCTCTCTCCACCCTTAGTGTGGGGAGGCTCCCTAGGGATCTGCTAAAAGCCCCTGTCTCTCTCTACTGGCTCCAGGACACTTCAGCTTTCTCTGCTCCTGGGAGAGCTGAACTGCCAGCACTTCCCTCTTCTGGAGACCCCCTCTAGCCTGGGGGGCCTCAGGCTGGACTAACTCTCCTGCATAATCCCAGTAGGTTTCCAAGGGGAGCACCAGCTCCACCCCTGTCTGCCCACCCCTCTCCACATGCCCTGCCTGGGTTGAGGGACAGGGCAGGGATGCTGCTGCAGGAGTGGCTGATGTTCTCCCGTTGCTCATAGGATCTGTGCATGGGGAGTCCTTCTGTGCACTGATCTCTGGGGCACAATCTGACCCCCTGAGCACAGAGTCTCGTGCTGGCAGCCCCCATGCAGCCTCTTCCTCCCTTGCTACCTACACCGTAGTCTGGCCCTGCATGTGCATGGGCTCATGTTACCCACCTCTGTTTAACAGGGAGCAGGTTGGTTACCAGTGGGAGGAGCCCCCCATTATAGGATCTCAAGCTCCCTGCTTGGGGCTCCGCTCAATGCTCTTGAGCCATGAAGCCATATGGGACCGTGTGGAGCTGTGACAAGAGCAGCGTGAGTTACATGCGACTGGAGCCTCTCGAGACAGGACAGACCCCCCCAGGCCCATGGTTACAGACTTTGCAGCATAAAAGATGGTGCAACAGTGGGTGGCGTGGGTGGGGTGGAGGCTCTTCCAGAGAACAGCAGTTTCACTAAAGGAGGGACTTGTGTCCACAGAGAACAGGCCTTGAGGCACCTTCGACAAGCAAGTGAGATGGAAAAAAACAAGCTGGAGATTCAAGCCTCTTCATTAGAGCTGAAGGTAATGCCTGAGAAAGCTGTGTCCATGCAAGGGCACTCCAAGGAAAGACTCTCATGATTTTCTGTAGGGGTGTCACTAAATTCGCACTGTGATCGTAACACAGATAGGGCCAAATCTTCCTTTCCAGCTCCATCTTACCCCATCCACACTACAGCCTGACACCATGGCCAGGACTTTCCAGAGGACTCCGCAGCAGGTTGGATTTTTGAGTGCCTGGCCCTGACAGGTGGGGCCAGATTTCCAAAAGAATCCAGCAGCCAATGTGCACCCAAGAACACATGGCCCTGATTTTGAACAGCGCACTCAAGAAATCTGTTCAGAACCTCAGTCCTCTGGAACATTGTGGCCACTGCGTGAAGCTCTTGGGATGATCATAGAGGACGGGGCTGGAGAGAACCTCTTGTGCTGGAGACTATCCTTTGTGCAGCAGCACAGATGTGTCCTAGGCCTATGTCTCCTGTAGTCAGCCCCATCTCCACGACATCCCTGGGCAAGTTAATCCAAATTGTCTAGCTGCCCTAACAGTCTCCGGCTGCTACTACTTGTTACGTGGAGAGGATGGAGGGGGGAGGATACTGGGGTGGGTTGGGGATGGGGGAGGATACCCAGGCGGAGTGGGGAGGATACCAGGATGGGCTGGGGAGTGGTGGGCGGGGGGGTGATACCCAGGCGGGCTGGGGAGTGGTTTGGGGGGGGAAGGATACTCGGGCAGGCTGGGGAGTGGTTGGGGGGAGGATACCTGGGCAGGCTGGGGAGTGGTTGGGGGCTGGGGGGGGAAGGATACCTGGGCAGGCTGCGGAGTGGTTGGGGGGGAGGATATCAGGATGGGCTGGGGAGTGGTGGGGGGGGGGGAAGATACCCAGGCGGGCGGGGGAGTGGTTGGGGGGGAGGATACCCAGGCGGGCGGGGGAGTGGTTAGTAGTGTGAAGCAAGAGAGCTAATTAGCACTGACGGTGGGTATGAAGCCATGGAAATGCTCTCTGCACTCACCATCCCTTCCCAACATCTAGTAGGCTGGAGTGAATCACCACTGATGAAGAGCGAGGATGATGTGGGATGTTATCACAGGGGGGCTGGATGGCTCAGGAGACTTAGGCGGAGCTGTGGAGCCACCGGTTCAAATCCAGCCCCTCTCCTTGGGCTCTTAAAGCTGGTGGCGGGTTGGCAGCCCCCATGAAAGGAGATTGGGGTTTTGGCCTGGTTCCTAGGGGATGGAGGTGTCTGCATTTAAAACCCCACCCCCACTGCCAGCGTTAGTGCAATCCCTGCTGGCAGTTGCAGCACAGAGGACAAGGATCAAATGGGCCACGGAGACCGAACTCCCCACTCCTCCTTGTGGGGCTCCCACTAGGTCACAACAGAGGCACATTTGCAGGGTGGTGGAGGAAAGCTGGTGCAGCTGCTGCCTGTGCTATACCTATGGACAGAGGGCATCGCTCTCCTGTTCCAATAGGCTACACTATCCCTTATGCCAGAGGCTCTGGCCAAACCCTGGGCAGTCTGTGGCTGTCTCAGTGATTGGCCCAGCACAGGTCACTTTTAAATGCTCCCGTCTGACCTCCCCTTTGCATCCTGACTAGCTGCCAGAAGTGGAGGTCCTGAGAGACGACGCCCACCGACGCAACCAGGCATCGGGCCCCCCAGAGGTACAGAACTGGGGCCCCAGGCAGAGCCGTGCCAGCCGCTCCCAGGGGAAGTGCTCCCAGTGTGATGCTTTTCTGGCCCAGCTGCACAAGATGATTCAAAGTAAGGGCTTCTCCCTGTAAGTGAAAGCTGCTCTGACTCCCAGGGGTAAGGAGGCTCAGTTCATCAGCGTTTGCAGAGGGCTTGGAGATCCCTGATGGCAGGTGCTGGAGAATCACTAACTGGACTCTGAGTTCCTTCTTACACGAGTGTGGTGACGGTCACCTGCTGGTCCATTCTTTCTCCCTTCCCTACACTGTCACCCCGAGTCTAATGTCCTCTGCTGGTTTGACTTGCTCAGCTGCTCTCTGCAGGGCAGTGGTAGCACGTTGGTCCCTCCTGTTCTCTCCCTTTGGCACAACAGTTCAGTTTCCAGAGGACTCAAATACTTTGACTGAAGTCTTGGGCTTAATCTAGGGGGAGCTGGGTGAAATTCTCTGGCCCGGCACATGCAGGAGGTCAGACCAGATGATCTGATGGCCCCTCCTGGCTGTTAATTCTATCGGCACCCTGGACCTGAGCATGCTGGTTAACAGCAAGGCTCTTTTTCGGAGGGTGGACGAGGCATTTGCTGGCTGGGGAGTGCTGGACTCAATGTTTGCAGCTGCTGCTATAACATTTTCCTCACCCCTGTCTCTCCTTTGCTGTTTGCTTTGGCTCCAGGCTGTACAGAGAAAGGGGCTGTGCTGCAGGAGGACCAGACCTTGACCTACCTGTGTGAGCTGCAGGGGCTCCTCAAGGTGAGTGACAGCAGAGGCCCCCTGTGGGACAGCACAGCTCACGCAGGGGTTTTAACATCCCCTGAAGGAACCCCAGTCCATTTCTGGGTCTGTTTCTGTCCCGGTTCTGCCGCCAAAGGGCTCCCACAGGGAATGCAGCGTTGCCGGACGATGTTGCAGGGATGTGGAGAGCTGCTCTGTGCGCTGTCCCAGTTGTGACCCTCAAATCTGCACCGTGTGTCTCACTGTAACAAGGTGGGGGGGGTCAGGGGAATGGTCAACAACCTCAGTGCCCATCGGTGGCACGCTCTGGGCAGGGAGACCTCAGACATAGCCTTGCCTATGACTTTGTGTCCAGGCACCCAGCTGCTCCTTTAGTATTTTTAGTGTGGTCGTGAGGTCCCATTGTGCTAGGCGCTGTACAAACAGAGACTAGAAAACAGTCCCTGCCCTGAAGAGCTCACAAGCTAATAGCTCACTTCATTTTGCTTCTTCACTTCTTTTCCTGTTTACACAGGGGTGGAGGGCCCACAGTTCTCCTTCAGGTCCATGGCACTGGGGCGTAGGTCTTGGAGTTCCAACCCTTTTCTTTCCATCATACCGTGAGTCTCCCACGCCCTTTCTTGCCATCCTCTTCCTCCCAGGCTTTCTTTGCTGTTCTTCTCCCATTTCTATCACACGTCCAGCCCACCACAAACACGCACCCTCCAGCCTATCTATCACTCACGGTCCCAAGTTCATCTTCCCCCTAATTCCTTCCATGTGCACACTGTCTACCCACCGCCTGCCTGCCATTCTCCTCAGTATATTATTTTCTACTGCCTGTATCGTCTTTTCTCCCATCTCCGTAAGACCCACCGTTTCCAAACCAGAGAGCAGGCAGGGACAGACACACGCAACGTACACGTCTCATTTCAATTTGTGCCTTAATTGCTGATCCCGCAGTACTGCTAACACCCATGCACAGTGCTCTTTTAATTCTCCAGCCCTCTCCCCAGTGGCACTAATGTGAGCAGGGGAATGGTCCCGCTATTGTGGGGAACTTTCCTGGCTTATACACTACCCCGGTGCAGTGGGCTAGTGAAAGGATCTGAGTCCTCACTCCCACTCCCTTTACCCAGAGGCCTGCCTGACCTCGGGGGCTCCCCTTCCATTCTCCTGTGTGGCAGAGTCCTTGTAACCCCAACAAGGCTGGGGCCAGGATTCCTGGCAGGCTTCACCCCCAGTCTTGTCATGGTCACTTAGGGCAGGGGCTAGGGTGTCCCCACTCTGGGGTGCTCTCTCTGCACTGGACACTTCCCTGACCCACTGATCATTGCCTAGAGTTCAAAGCAAATACAATGTATTAAACAGCAATCAATTAAAAAAATAAGGAAAGAATGGGAAAGGTGAAAGGAAAATCCATCACCCGGCTCTGTGGCACGGGGACATTACAACCAGCTCTGGCTGGAATGTCAGGGCAGTTCACAGCCTGTTCCTCACACATCCCAGGCCCCTGTCCAGGCCCTGGCTCTAGGGATGCCGTGGGTCGGACACTTGCTCTGGCGGTGGCCACACGCCTTCAGGCTCTAGGTGGCAGGTCCTTCTTCCCAGCGTCAGCCCCCCAGTCGGGGTTATGATCCCCCTCCAAGTCTGGTCTGCAGGGCCTCTTGGCTGGGGACGTCTCCCTGCACTGGGCCCTCTGCCCAGCATCCCCCTCGCTCTCCGCAGCTGCTCACCACACCCAGCTCTGGACTGCTCCAGCCCCAGCCCCAGCCCCACTCTGCCTCGGCACTGCTCAGCTCCCTGGGCTGCTCCTCTGGCCCCTCAGGCTCCTGCTCTCTCCTTAGCTCGGCCCCTCTGGCCAGGCAGCTCCAGCTCACACGGAGGACGGGACCCCATGCTCCTGACTCCCTTATTGGCCTGCCTGCCTTGTCAATCAGGCTGACTTGGAGCATTGGCCTCTCTCCATTGCCCCGGGGACTGTCAGTCTCAGGGTCTTGATTTCTCATCAGCCCTTCCCCTTTCTAAAAAGCCCCACTAAGTTCCAGTGTGGGTCCAGCAGTCCCCTAACACTCAAAGTACACAAGTACACAAATTCTTTCTTCCGATTCAGCTTCTCTCCTAAAACATCAACCAACAGCTCTTCTTCCACCGTTCCTGCTTACATAACTCCAGTTCCCTTTGTGTTTCCCTTCAGACCATAGGCTTCAAACACAGATGCCCGCTCTGCTACCGTATTTACCAAGCTAAAAGACAAGACAGACAAAGAGAAATAGACCCATGGTTGCCCTGTCTCCCATGAGGAGCTAGAGACCTATCTCCCCTCTGGCTGGAGCAAATGCTGCAAATTAGCCTCCACACCCCCTTGAGTTGGTCTTAACCAAACCAACATTTTACTGGCTTTGGTCCAGAAACAGAGAGAAAAGCAGAGAATGAAGCAGAGAGACTGGGTAATGGTTAGAGCACCAGTCTGGGTTTGGGCGAGACGGGTACAGTTCTGCCTTCTGCCTCCCTGTGGGACCGTGGGCAAGTCACATAGGGCCAGATTTCCAGAAGTATCTAGGTGCCCAATGCAGTTAGGTGCCCAGTGGGATTTTCAAAAGCCTATTGGCATTGTTAGGTGCCTAAATACCTTTGAAAACCTGCCCTTAATTTCTCTAGTCCAGCTCTCCAAAGGGAGTTAGGCACCTAAATACCGTTGAGGATCTGGGCCTTTGAGCCTCTGCTACCCATCTGTATAATGGTGTTGGTAGCTCTGTGCTGCCCCCCAGGGGTGTGTGAGGATAATACACGAAGGCTCAGGAGGCACTCAGCTCCTGTGGTGCGGGGAGCCAGGGCAGTGCCTAAGAGAGCCAGATACAACAGCGAGACATACAAACACCATGGACTGCATCACTCAACTGTCCCTAAACGTGGTAACAAAGCACCGCAGGGCACATCCCCTTATCAGCATGTCACTCAGTCAGGTTGCTGCTGGCCGCCTAGCAAAGCTGCACCCTCTTTGGGACACCCAATCCCCAGCCTCAGCCCGGGTCAGTCTTGCCTACTGCTTAGCCCATGAGGTATCCAGATGTAGCAATGCTCCAGGCTTAAAGGCCTTTCTGGGCCTCAGTTCCCCATGGGTACAACATAGCTAATGCCACTCTTTCTCCTGCACTTTAGCTGGCTGGTCTGTTTGGTCTGTAACATCTTTGGGGCAGGGACTGGCTCTAGTACAGTGCCAGGCACAATGGGGCTCTGATTGCGCATGGGGCCTCTCAGCGGAACCGTGATACTAACTTAGCTACTATTGTAACACCATGGTGATGGGACAGATCTGAGACCTTCTTGGAGATCTAGAGAAACTGCCCTTTCCAGGAAGACATGGAACAGCCCCTAATGGGCTAAGCTCCGACCACTCATCCGTTCAGAATCCCTGTAGATTGATGGTTCCGCTTCCCCAGACAGTCTCCAAGGTGTCTTTTTGACCCCTTCCGCTCACTGGGGCGAGGAGATGAAACTGAAATAGAACAGAGCAAAAGATCAGAGTCCATTCATCGCTCCACCCTGCCCAAGTGGGTCTGTTTCTCCGCAGGGGCTGAATCAGTGCACAGCCGGCCAAGTCACAAGGAGCCCCCAGGAAAAGAGCCAAACCTTGGAACAGCAGCATCAGCTGGTGACCGAGCAGGTAACAAGGCATGCATTCGGCTTTGTCTCGAGCTCTCTGACTCATCATAGTTTTTATGCTTCTCTGAAGTGGGCAGATGGTCTCCGGGGCCAGGGAGCCATCACAGGCAGGATTCGGCTGTTAGAGTGGCTGTGTGAGTGTGGGCCCTGGCATGTGGCTGCGTGAACATGTGGGCATGGAGGGGAGGTAGCCAAAAGCCTTGACTGAATTTGCATGGGGCATTTGAGATGACAGGGATGGATGGAGTGTCCCAGCTAGCTGGAGCAAGGCACAGGAAGGCAGGGGTGGCTACAAGGAGCTTGGGAAAGTGCGGGGGTATCTCAAGGACCCAGAATGGATGGAAAGTAGAACAGGCTTCCTAGTTACTGTCCAGAGCCTCTTGCACCTAGGGATTTAGGCCGATGCCAGCGAGGGCTGGTAGAGCCCCTGAAATTCACTCTCTGCTGCTCCAACAGCTCAAGGGCTTGTTCAGACAGAGGCAGCAGCTGCAGTCAGGGCACAGGAAGCTGTCAAGAGACCAGAAGGACGAGTGCTCAGTGGAGCAATGGGTGAAGAACTCTCAAGTGGTAAGAACTGCCTGCCCCTGTCCCTGCCCCGCATCAGTCCAGCTCTGTGCAGCCCATCTTCACACCCAGGAGGCAACTGCAGTAAGGCTGGTGCTGGTTTGTGGGTGTTGGGACACAGGCAGCAATTGTGAATGTGGGGGTCGGTTGACTCTGAAGGGCTGTCGGGTACGAGCCACGAACCCAACAGGTACTCCTGGTATCTGCCATGAACCCACTATCGTCTTTGGTCTCATGTGGTTTCTGCAGAATGCAAGAGGAGCCATCAAGCCACACGGGAAACCTCCACAGGAGCTAAAAGAAAAGCAGCAGCCTGTGCCAGGAGATCTGGGCTTCTCCACCAGCACCGAAGAAGCGCAGAGCCTCAGGCTGCAACTGCAAGAGAAAACGGAAATGGTATGGCCCTGCCCTGCCCCAGGGAACGCACCGCAGCTCGAGGGCAAGCTCGGTATTAAGTGGGGAGCTGTAGATCTGGCTCTCCTGAGGCAGGGATCAAGCTGGCCAGAAGCTGGGAATCAGTTTGAGCATCAGTGCAAACTCCTCCTCTGCCATCCACCATTATGGAAGGATCCCCAGGCCCATGTGCTGCAAGAGCCCATCATGCTCTGTGCATCCTACTCCACATCCTTATCCCTCTGCATCGGATTTTCTGTCTGCCTCTTAAGGAATCTGCCATTTTCATGGCCTCCCATTAAAATATATACATGTGCAAGGGGCCACCCAGGCAACGTACCCGCCGCAGGGTTTCTAACAGAGCCGCTCTGTGTTGTTTCCAGATTTCCGCCATGGCCTCTGAGATCCAGGGACTGCAGCAAAAGAACGAACACCTGATGAAAGGTAGGGTGGCAGCATTGCCACGGCACAGGCTGTTCTTAATGGTACGAGGCTGCTGCTTGCAGCTATACTGCAGGGCAGCGGGAATAGGGTGCTGGGCCAGCGGAGATTGAGGTAGGCTGCTCATTTAAAAAGTGAAAGCTCAAGGCCTTTCTGCAGACTAGGGCCTGATCCTGAGAGATGCTGAGCGCTCTCAGTCCCACCTGGTTTTAATGGGAATTGAGGTCGCTCAGGACCAGATCCTCAAAGATGTTTAAGGGCCTAACTCCCATTGAAATCCATGAGAGTTAGGAGCCTAAATATCTTTGAGGATCTGGGCTCCAACGCCTCCATGAAGAGAGACAGTCTCTCTCCAGATTGAGGCCTATGTTAGGAATCACCATGTCTCTGAACAATCCAATGATCCTCCATGTCTGCATCCATCAGAAACTAGATGCATCAGAGGAAGGCAGGACAGCCTTCAGGGCACACAACGCAAGCGCAATATCATGCTGTGATGGGAAGGCATGTTTGAGCTGGGACATTAATAGCTTTTGATATTTTTACCCTAACGTACGTGACCCCAGCTGCTGCTATTTTATAGACTAGATTTCAGCATTTACCCAGCCCTTTGCCTTAGTAACATCCTGCAGCAGTGAGTTCTGCAGCTTAGCGCGTACTCTGCAATTTCAACCTTACCTTTGGCAGCTGTAACTGGTTTGCTTTATAATCCCATTGTGATCCCCACTCCCTTTCTGGCTCTTTGATTGGAAAAGGTGACTGGGAGTCTCTGCTTGACCATTCATGGTGTTCCATTGGGAGAACACAGTCCATCCTTGCTAGAACCCCATGACTTCAGCGGAATTGCAGCAGGAGTTAGTCCCAGTGATCTAGCACTCCTTGCTGAGGCTGTTGAAAGGAACTGCCACCTAGAGCTTTGCAATGGAATTGATCATCTGATGCCCAGTGCCAATCTCCTCCTTCTTCTCCTAACAGCGAAACTGCGGTTTCAGCAGCAAATCCAAGACATCCGCAGCCTCCAGCAGCAGCGACAGGAAAGGAGCGACTCAGACCTGCTGGTTCCTAGGCTCTCCAGCTGGCAGGAGCTGGAGTTGGGGCTGAGCCAGCGGAGCGATGGCTCTGCACCTCCGACTGGCCGTGATCCCCATGCTTCTCTGTACCTAGCCAAGCAGGTGATGCTGCCCGAGGCAGGAGTCGAGCTGTGTTGCTTCAGTTCTGAAAGCAGTGGCAGTCAGTCTCACAGGTCCCAGGCAGGGTCAGAACTGCCAGCGCTGCCGCTGAGCAAGCTCCCTGCTGATCCTGTGACTGGGAAGCTGCCTCCCCCTTCCACACTGCCCCTCCCAGCCTCCACCCCGGCATCTGGCAAATCCTCCCCCGAGGCCCGCTCGTCCCCAGTGAGCCCCCGGAGCCAGCCTGGCAGCCAGGAGTCCTCGTACACTCCCAAGGGGGCAGTGCTGCTCTCGCCGAGACCCTTCCGGGCACAACGACTGGGCTCGCCCTTTAAATTCAGAGTGAGCCCGGAGCCCCCAGGGGAGAGCTGTGGCAGCTGAAGCACCCTGTCCGTTGAGGTCAGACTAGATGATCACAACGGCCCCCTTCTGGCCTTGGAATCTATGAATCCTGCATGGCTGGGTACACGTGGCTTTGAATGATCTGCTCTGTGCCCTCTCCTTGTCCCCTGAGCTGTTCGCCGTAGAGTCTGGCTGGTAAATGAATGAACATAGCATGTTCTCTTGGAACTGGCTGTTTCCCCCTGGCAGTGGGGAAAGGTGGTCTCCTGACCCCTTAGGTTGGAATTCAGATTGGGGGCATTACAGGGGAGGGGCTGTTCTTGCACTAGCCGGGCAACTAAGTCCAACAGTCCCAGTGCCCCGTGCACCTGGGCCTCCTGGAGTAGGGAGCCACCAGTGTGGTCTGTAAGCAGCAAATGATTCGATGTATGCTACAGGTTCTTCCCCTGCCCTTGCCCGAGCATCTGAGCACCTGCCGCTCATGCGTTAAGGGATTTGACTCACTTTTGCCATGCGTAGTTCTTGCTTTCGCTCGTCTTCTCCCCAGGGGGAGAACTGTGTGCAGTGGAGTGTTGGGAAACATACCCCCTGCTCTGTGTTTATATGGGGAAGGGACGGTCAGAGGGGTGCGCCTGGCACCTAGACCATGAGGTGGGGAGGGTTGTGACGGTCCTTGGGTTCATCCCACAGTCTGAGGCTAGCCCCCAAGACAGCTCTGCCTCCTGCATAGCCGAGCTTTACCCTGAAGTTAGGAAGTGCCTTGGTGCCAGAGGAGCAGAGCCCAACCAGGCCCCAGCCCAGAGCTTTAGGTGATCTTCTACATAGGCTGGGCCTCTTCTGTTCCCCCGAGACAGAGAGCTTGCTTCTCCTTTCCTGGAAGCTCAACCTCCTGAGGGAGAGGAGGCAGTAGATAGAGTACCCCAAGCTACACCAGCTGCATTGCTCAGCTGCTGCACTGAGGAACAGGCAGCAGAGCAGGCCCACGTAGCTCACTGCCTCCAGTTCCCTTGTCCCTAGCAGCCCTGCCTTCAGAGTCATCAGGCAATGACCACTGGATGGGCCCACCTTTTGCATTGTAAGCAAGATCTCCCTTACTGCTCACTGCTGTGCTGCCACAGCCCTTCCAAAGAGCTGGAAGAGTTGGTGGAGGGGGCAGGTGCCCCACTGGCAGTGCTTGGGTTTCCCAGGGAAGTGGGTTTCAGTGGTGGGCAGCTAAGGATTGTCAGCATAGTCACAGATGGATTTGATTTTTGTGAAGGCCTGATGCCCTCTGGAGCAGGCCTTGATCCTCTCCCCCAGCTCTCCGTGCTGCCCTGTGCTTGCTGTGAAAACCCCTTGGCATCGGGCACCGATCGCTATCCCCGCAGCTGATTTCTGGGGTGGGAGCGAATCCCCACTCTCACTATTCTGCTTCCTGTGTGGATAATGTGTCTGTCTTCCATAAAGGACTGGAATGTGCTCTGCTGCCTCAGACTGTTCTTCTGCTGCGCCCCCAGGGACGGGAGGCTGGGCATCAAGGCTGGCTGGAAGATGGCCGAGAGGCTAATAGCAAGGAAGCCTTTCAGGCCGGAGTTCTAGATCTAGGGAACAGAGCCAGATTCTGGTTCAGCCCATTGCTGTGCTAAGGGTGCAGGTAGGCTCCCCAATGTTTGGCGTATGAGGAGAGGCAGGCTGGCTTCCTTTTCCAGAGGGGGACACGCCGCAGCTGAACATCTCAAAGTTAGCGCCCTGTGATTCGCTCGCTGTTAGGGGTTTATCCTGCCACCCATCACCGCCGCATCTCAGCCCCTTTGGTGTAAAATCAACAGCAGCTGGAAGAAAATGAAACACCTTGTGCCTCCTCAGCTTCCATATCTTCGCATTCTGCCCTTCTCACAAGGTCGCCAACGTGGGCCTGTCTCAGGCAGACCAGATGTGGCACAAGAACACCATCTCCACCGGCCCATGAACCATGGCCGTTTGGACCTGCAGTGATGGCAGGGCTGGAACTCCCATGCCACAGCACAGGCCATGGGAGTTAAAGGCGTCTCATAATAATAGAGAGCCTATGAGACACAGGTTCTAAATCCAGTTAGGAGAGAGCAGTGCTGCAACTACACAACGGCCGTTCCTCCGTGTGTACATACACACCTACAGTCCATTACATATACCTCCCCCCAACACAACCAACAATCCAGATTATTTAACGGCACCATTCATTAGCGAGACTTGGGAGTTTAATAACAAAAACCCAAGGAAACCCTGTTAATATTGTTCTGACATCAATACAGTCGCATGGCAGGAATGACCTCACGGAGGCAGCAATACACTTTCAGAACAAATTCCTTTTATTTGTTTAAAGGGGACAAAGTGGATGGAAAACACAAAGGTCTGAGCCAGCAACCAGATGTGGGGCTGCGGGCCTGGGCCCTGCACTATAGTGACAGCTCCCCGGGGCCTTCCCAGTGATGTCACTTCCTGTCTGGCATCTTGGGAGACCACCGAGCCTCTATGGAATGCTGCTGTGTTTTAAAAATAAGTTTCCAGGCTATTACCTTACCTATTACCCTGGGGGGGGGGGGTGTATTTTTCATTGACTGTGGATGTGTTAAGTATCTGACTGCTATGGTTGCAGCTTGATTTGATAAGAGGATATGAATGAAGAGATGTTGGGGTGATGGGTTGGCCATTGGAATAGGCATAAAATTACAACTGCATTGGCAGTAACAGCCAGCAAGCTGCAGCTGCTCTATGCCAAGCTAGCACTGCCAGCATTCCCTCCGTGTTGTGCCGGAAGGGGGACATGGCTTAACAAGGGAATCCCTCTGAAGATTCAGTGACATCAGCAGAATCGCAGGAAGCTGGGCTCTCCTGGATCCACCTGCTGGACCTCATCCCTGCAATCTTCCTTTTTTCACATTGTAGCCCTGCTCCTCCAGCAGCAGCTCTGAACTCCAGAACTGTAGGTCCAAGTAAAGCAGGGAGGATTATGCACCAGTGGGATGCATCCCAGGGCAGGTCCAAGGTGAGACGTGCAACAGTTCGACACTCCATTATAAAACAATGAAGTGGGAGAATGGGATGGAATCTGGTATTTTATGCAGGAAGTTGGGGATAGGGAAAATGGCCTTCCAGCCCTTCTGTGACCTCTTCCCTGCCCATGCTCAGGGCACATGGATTCCTCCTTCACAGTGACCCCACAGATCAGTGCTCTACACAATACAGCTAGCTTGGGCTTTCTTACACAGAGATCTAGGAATCAAGGCTGACATTTCATCCATGTGTGGTCCGGCCGTTCCTTACGAGTGGACTGGAACAGACTGGAGGTTGTTCTGACTGCAGCACTGATCGCACATGTTACGCTGAGCAGAATTCACATAAATGCAGTAGGGGCCACACCTAGCCCAAAGCAGGTGTAATTCTACTGACTTCACAAGAGCATCAAGCATGGAGTAAGTTGTCATCATAACTACAGTGAAATCAATGGTGTTGCGCCTGGTTATCCTCAGGCTGGATGTGGGTCAGGGCCTCCAAGGCTGTCTTAAATTTGATCACTGGTTACTGTCTTGGTTTGGGGATTGGGGACAACTAGCTTTGTTGGTGTGCCAGCCTGGAATCCTCCTGAGCAAGTCTGGAGCACATGAAGCTTGCTCTTTCCATCTGTCCATGCTCTTTCCTCTCCTCTCCATGCTCCCACTTCCCTCTGCTCCTTTCCATGTCTCATGTTCCTGTGCCCATCTCCTGCCCTCCTTTCGCTGCTGCTGCCAGTGCTCCCTTCCCCGGGCCAATGTCCCAACAGCAGCCAGGAGCTGACGGTGGGGCTCTTTCCCTTTAATTTCAGACACATGCTCTCTATCTAAGATACTTAACAAGGAAAGTCTCGCTTTGCTTCAAGTTCCTTGCTGCTCCCTGTCTTGGTGGCCTCGGGGCCATCCAGGGCAGCACAGAGCAGACTCGCACCACGTAGGAGACGACACTTCTGACATGACTACAGTTCTTCAACCCAGCCACGCAGCCAGCGGGAATCACACGCTCAGGCATCAGCACTGATTTCCCCATCCTGCTCCGACTGACGAGCTCCAATGAGTCACATGCCGACTGACCTATGTCAAGGGGAGAGACTGAAAACATTCGGCTGAATCACATGCCACCGCGCGGATTCCACCTGCCCTCGGCAGCACATCTCCTTCCAGTGGAGCAGCCCTGCCTCTGGGGCATGGGGCCCAATCAGCACTCGGCCCAGGGTGCAGCTGCGCGTATAGAGACGAGCCTTTGGGGAGGAAGGGGAAAGGCAGCATGAGGCAGGGAGGAGTCAATGGGAGAAGCAGCCAGAAGGCTCAGCAAATAGCCCCTCCCCTGGAAATGCCATCCCATTCCGACAGCCCCTTGCAGACAGCAACAAGTCCCTGCACCTCCTCCGCCAATACCACCTGTGCCAACACCCCCCCATAGCCCCTTCCAAATGCCACCATGTGCCAATCCCCTACAAGTGCCAGCTGCCTTGACAAACTCCTTAACATTCCACTGAGGAGCCAACCTTCCCACAGCAAAAACATTTCCCCAGGTCACTGAGTCCCTACTGGTACCAATCCCCCTGAAAATGTGCCCGAGCATGAACCCGCCCTAACAAACCACCTGGCTCCAACAAACCCCCCTGCATATGTCACCACCCACTTGCCAGCCTGCCCCTGCAAATGCCCCACTGTCACCTGCCTGCTCTGGAATTGGTGCCTGCACTGATAAATACTGCACCCCGCCTTATGCCCTGCAGCATGCTAATGCACCATCTGATGCACACAGGTCCCACTCCCACTCCTGTCCCTCCGACCTGCATGATGGTGAACTCCAGGCACAGCTGCTGCTCCTGGATGTCTCCTGCAGGGACGTTGAAGAGGAAGGGTGTGTTCCACACGGGGTTGTAGCCGGCTATGGACTTGGTCTCCTTCGTGTCCATGACTCGCCCGTCGTAGTAAAAGTGAATGACAACGTAGTGGTCTGGGAATGGAATTGGAGAATAAGGAGACTGCCGACAGCACACGGGATCTGCTGTCAACAGACACAGGTTTGCTTGGACGCAGGGAGGCTCATGAGGAGGTAAGTTAGGGGCGGCTGAATAGGTGTGTCCTGTCTCCCAGAAGCTCTGTGTCAGGCCCTGTGGAGCTACCAGGATAGAATGGAGAGAGCTTTGAAGCACTGGACACTCCCATAAGTGCTGGTCAGAGGGCCCCGGGCCTCAGAAGGTCATTTAAACAAGAGAAGGCGTCTGAGCCAGCCAGGGCCGGCTCCAGGCACCAGCCCACCAAGCTTGTGCTTGGGGCGGCACCTGGAGGGGGGCGGCGCGGCGCACAGCCCCGGGGAGAGCGGGGCCACGGCCGGGCTCGCCGCCCTCCCCCCCGGCGCCCTCCCCCTGGCCGCTGGGGGGAGAGAGGAGCCCCCGCCGGGGCTCGCCGCCCTCCTCCCAGGGCTCCGGCCACCCTCCCCCCGGCCGCCGGGGGG